ACTTCATTAACGGCACGGAGAAGGTGAGGTACGTGGAGAGGTACATCTACAACCAGGTGCAGTTCACGATGTTCGACAGCGACGTGGGGCACTACGTGGGGTTCACCCCAGCTGGGGAGAGGGTTGCCAAGCGCTGGAACAGCGACCCGGCCAAACTGGACTACAAACGGGCTCAGGTGGACAGGTACTGCCGGCGCAACTACGAGGGGTCCCGCCCGTTCAGCGTGGAGCGCCGAGGTGAGCGCGGGGCAGAGCGTGTCCCCTCGGGCCCTGCCCTGCCAGTGACCATCCCACTCAATCCCAGTCCCTACCAGTCCCTTCCAGTATATTCCCAGACCCTCCCAGTCCATTCCCATTCCCCTCCCAGTCCATTCCAGTCCATTCCGAGTCTATCCCATTGTATTCTACTTCCTTCCAATCCTTCCAGTCCATCCCAGTCACTCCCAGCCCATTCCGACTTCATTCCCTGTTCTCTCTCTGGCTTCCACACTCTCGCCCAGTGCCGAGTACCCCTCCCATCTTTCTCAGTGCCACTCCAGTCCTTCCCAGTGCCTCCCAGTCCCACCCAGCCCCTCTAACTCAATTCCCAGCTTATTTCCAGTTCATTCCCAGTTCAATCTATCTCAGACCTCCACCACCTCTCACAGTAAACCCAATCCCCTCCCACCTCTATCAGTTCCACCCCAGTTCCTCCCAGTCCTTTGCCAGTCCATCCCAGTCACTCCCAGTCCCGCCTTTTGCCATCCCAGTGCCATCCCTCTCATACTCAGCCCATTCCCGGTCCATTCCCAGTGCCTCCCAGTCCCTCCAAGTGTATTCCCAGTCCATCGAGTTCATCCCAGTCCATCCCAGTCCATTTCCAGTCAGCCCCAGACCCTCCCGGTGCCCCCCCGCGCGTCCATTTCAGCGACGCGTGAAGCTGACGCTTTTCATCCAATCAGATCGCGTCTGAGTGATGACTCACCTGTTGCCAGGCAGTCTCGCAGCGCCGAGTGCCCCGCGCTGGACTCGGCCTCCCAGCACTGCGCACTTCATTCCCAGTTCCTCCCAGTGCCACCAAAATCCCTCCCAGTGCCATCCCAGTCCCT